CCTGAGAGCCTATTGAGATCTGCTCGAATGGCACGGATGTTCTTCTCACTTGCAACACGCTTCTTTCAGCTGGCAGGGTGGAGTGACCTTATCTTTTGCAAGATCGCGCCGGCCTTGCCAGCAGTTCTTGAAAGGATATCCCCAAACAATCCTCTGCCCAGACCGTGGAGATGTGTGATCTTCGGCCGGCCTGTGCTGGCAGAAGCTTGCTCCATGCCTTTCTCGATGTTGTCTAGCGAGCCTGCCTGTGCCTGGTGGATGCTGGCCGAAAGAACAGCGAAACTGTAAAGGCCTAAATAATTGGATTCGGTTTGTGACGAACTTCAAAACCAACTTTAGTCCTGAGTATGGGAGTACACTTTTAGTAATTTGTTGACGCCTCATACTACCCTTTTGTCGGGGATCCTTTTGTGGGAATTTTCAGCACCGCTTGCATTTTTGGGGTCGTGCGGATTGTGGGGTTTGGGGGGCATTGTGGTGGCTGTGGGGCGTGTGAGGGTTGTGTAGAGATCGAGTTGCTGAGCTTGGACCCGTTTCAAGCTTTCCAACAATCATGGAAGTGGACTGGAGCCCTGATTGAAAAGATCGTAGTCTCCCAAAACTCTCCTGTCAGCGTTCATGATTGTTGACAGCTTTTCAGGGCGCATTTCCACCCATTCGTCCATCTGTCTGTCCATGCGTGGGGGGTTATCTGCATTCTCAAGCATTCGCAACCAATCACAAAGACAGCCGGCTGGAGGAACCAGTTTGTTGAGGCTCAAAGAATCCGGGATGGACCGAGCCAAAAGAAGATCGTCAGGTTGGTGGGAAGGGACAGACTTAGGGAGTGACTCTTCAAATTTGAACTCATGACATCTGACTCATGCAATTGGCACCAAGCCCACAACAGGCCTCACAGTTGCGAGGTCTTGTTTGCTTCTCGACATAGGAGAACCCCAATTATGATCGGATTGCAGCTGGCTTTAAATATGAGAACCCCAAAATTATCGGATTGCTGCTGGTTTTAAATATAGGAGAGCCCCAAAATGATCGGATTGCTTCTGGTTTTAAATATAGGAGAATTCCAAAATGATCGGATTGCTGTTGGTTTTAACTTTAGGAGAGCCCAAAAATGATCGAATTGCAGCTGGTTTTAAATATAGGAGAGCCCCAAAATGATCGGATTGCTTCTGGCTTTAAATACCGCAACGTTCAACTGACAAGGGGTTCAACTCTCCTTTGGCGCCTCGGTGATGTGCGCGAGGTCCAGCAAGGCTCTCTGCATGTCACGCATGTTCTGCGACAGATTGGACACGTCCTGTACATACCTCACTCGGATCTCTTGATCCTAGCTTGTCTTTTGTGCCCCAATTGCCCAGTGGCTCTGGCAGAAAGAGGGAAAAACCGTTTTGGGTTGACCATTTCAGTGGGACCCAGGCAAAGAGGGGCGTGAATGGCAGCTAAGTATGCAGCAAGTGAACCAATAGCAGCTTGACAAAACCCGAAAACGAACGGGCCACACATGACAGAGTTCTTCTCTTGCAATATGCAGGGCATTCACTATACAGGGTTTGGAATCTTGCTGGGAACACTTGCTTCGAGCTTAGGCTGGGGGCAAGAAATGGTGTTCTGTGACAACCTGCTTTGCCACTCGAGCCGTGCTGAATACTCTTGTGTCAAAAGCGGAACTATGAACTTGCTTTCGCGAACCCTTTCGCCATGCTTTCACAACCCCATGTTTTGCTTTTGCGAACTTCGTTGTCTTTAGAACTGCTTGTGCGGAGCTTTCGCGGCGGACTTTTGGATTCACACCCTTTGGACTGCATGAGCTCAAAAAACTGCAGGTTCCTTTTGACGATGGCCGTTGGCCTTTCTGCAAGTTGAGTTTCACAAACGGCTGTCCACCCCAAATGCAAGACTTGGTGAAACAGTTCCCGTTCATCATCAACATGCAGGCCCAACCCAACGACCCCAAAAATAAAACACAGGAACCGCGCAAAAAACGCCCTGACATGCAATGTTCCTCTGACTTTCGCGTTCCTGATTTGTTTTTGGCAGCAAGAAATCCAATGCGCAAGATCGCCTAGAAACGCAAACATTGACAAGGGCCCTTCTGCCACAACTCCTAGCCATTTCATCCACGGCAAAGCTCGCGGGATATGATGCATTCCCGAAACATTGCAAGTGAGCAAACCCTCAAAACCGGTTGCAAATCACGGTCAGTTGCAGGGTGTCCAGCAAAATCTCATTTGGCCGTGGCTCAAAATTCAAGAGCCAGGGTTGAGCAAGTTTGGGTCAATTATTTTTGTCTTCCATTTATCAAGGGGCCATTTTGGGTACATGTTTCTGAGCCGCAGCCATTTGTTCGGCTGTGGAGTTGGGGCCTTCAGCTCCCATCTGAGCAGCTCATCCACCATCGCAGCATGTAGCTGGATCTCGCCGGCGGAGACCTCCTCTTGCCTGCCAAAAAAAACCAAGAAGAAGTTTTCAGCTTCACCCAGGGCAAACTTAGTGAGCATAGGTGTCCTTTTGGAAAAATGGATGGCCCTGGAAAAGGGGAGAAACCCCACCTAAACCAGCGCCATCTATTTCTAATCAAACTAACCTAAAAAGGACAAACCTAAAAAGGACACCTATGTTAGTGAGTGTTTCCATGTACCTCTCAAATGCTCCATGGACGAGCGATTTGTTTTAACCAAACCTGGTGTGGAGCCAGGGCTCCACCTGACTGTCCTATGGGCAAGATGCCACAAAACCAACCACGCCAATTCTGGCTGCCTTCTTTGCATGTTCAGCTTCACCGTTCTTCTTTCCTTGTGCGCTGCCAACTTCTCAGCTGCTTCTGGGCAGCCTTTAGGAAGCTCTTCTTCCTTGATTCTTCCTCTGCCAACTTCTTTGCATGAAGCTGAGCGAATTCACCCGCACCTACCAACCATTTCCCGCGGCTTGAACTTGGGCCCTTGCGCAAAAAGCGTGCCGCGATGGCGACATGGTGTTTCCCAAGAGAGAGAGACCTCCCCCTTTCAAGGGAAACCAAAAGGCAACCAGGCAGCTAAGTGGGGTCACCTACGCAAGCCTTGACACACACACTCGAAGACACACACACACACACGCATTCACACACATATATATATATATATATATGTCCAATATAAAAGCATATATATATATACACACGCATATATATATATATATATATATGAAAATATATGTGTATGTACACACACATGTGTATATATATATATAGACACATGCATATATATATATATATGCATATATATATGTGTATATATATATATATATTCGCATATATATATATATAAACACAAACACATTTACACATACACATGTATATATATACATATATATATATATACAGATATATCTCTATTTATATATGTATATGCACACAAATATATACACATATATTTGTATATATACACATCTATGTATCTATCTACACTTGTGGTACACCCCTCCCACATCTCCACACCTCCCACACCACTCACCAAAGCCCGCGCCTGGCCACCTGCGCCTGCTCCAGGTCCGGCGCCGCCTCCTCCAAACTCGCCGGCTCCGCCTCTGGGTCGCTTGCCGCCCGCGCACGCCACGCCTCCTCACCGGCGCTCTCGGCCCGTTGGCCCGCGGACCCAGCAGTTTTTTTTCGGTGCTACTGTGGATGGTTGCGAAATCCATCAACCACACCTCAGAGACCCTGGTTTCGGATGATTCCCTTGTAAATACTAACAAAGAATGCGTTCCCATGGCTTCCAAGTGGTGCAGGATTTCGTCCATCCACAGTATTTCGGGGGTTCGTGCCGTTTGTTGGGGTGTCCGTGGACTTTTTTAATGGTATATATATAGGTCAACCAGTCAACCAACCTCGAACCGCAATTTTCTGGGTCGCTTTCCAATCAAAGGAGAAACAGACAATGAACCCAACTCCGACTATCTTGAACTCTGCCAGCATGCCGAAATCCTTTCGGGCGCATGTGGTGCTACTGGCAGGTCAAAAAAGCTCGATGGGCCCCAGAGAATCGCCTACTTTGGGATGTGAGGCAAAGCATCGCGGAGGGCTTCAAGCGACAAATCAGCAGCAAACCGGCAAGTCGATCAGAAGCGCCCGGGTCTGTTGCCAAGCGAAAGAGCCTAAGACAAGGGAACCCCGCCATAGCTGGTGCACACTGTTGCCTAGAAAGTTGCATTTGGGTCGGCTCCTTTGCTTGCTAAGAGCCAGAAAAAAGAAAAGAAAAAACATCTATCTTCCGTGAACAGCCACGGGGCTGAGCGTGGATGGCAAGAGGTCAGGAATGCTTGCGAAGGGAACAAGCAAGGGAGAGATCGGGTTCCTGGGAGCTGCAACCAGCTCGCTAAACAAGGAGTATGATTTCTTCCAAATATTTTCAATAACACCCAACCAGCCACCAGGCGAAAACAACATATGTGGAATCCGACTTCAAAACAGGGCGCCACAGCACAAACCCAAAACATGATAAATAACGTGCCTTGAGGTGTTTCACCACAAGGAGTCAAGTCTTGCCGCTGATGAGTGGTGTTGACCCCATCGCACGATCAGAATCGCGCGACACAAAAGCGGAACCATACTGGGGGTGGACAAAATCCTGCACCCGCCGATAGGTGATTTATGTCATTGTTTGAAGGGTTTCATGTATCCCAAGTAGTGCGCAAGGAACCAGACGAGAAACACTGATGTTGAAACCCAGGCCTGTTTCGGTTGATGTGGTGCCCGTGGCACCGCGCGGGTTCGCCCAAAGTTGCCAGACGGGCATTTGAGCTTCCGTGGCAACAAAACTTGTACCCATTGACACCCTGCTTTGGGAAGGTCCTTTTGAATCTTTTGTGGGACCACTCTAATGAAGCATATTGCAGGATACTCCCCAGCCAGCTAAAATGGAGCTCAAACAACTCTTGTGCGCCTGTGTGCTTGAAGCACGTGCTCTTTCAACACACCATGCTCAAACACCCATCTTGGTGGACCAAACTTTCCCCCGACAGACCTCACAGCCAGTGCAGCTCGGGAGTTTCACCCTTTTGCTTGGCTGTGGCCGAGAATTTAGAAAGGCCCTCAAGCATAGGCGTCCTAGGGGAAATAGATGGATTTCCCTGGACGATTAAACCACGAGGTAAGCCAGGAATACCAATGCCCAGCTTCGACCCTATTTCCCCAGGCCCGAACTGAGCGGAGCGCACCTCGGCTTGCCATTCAGCCCAAACATCGCTGAGCTCTTTGGACAACTTGTCCACGCTCTCTCGGATCTTCCTCAGATCCGGAACCATGTTGAACCGGCCAGAAGCCGTGTCTGTCTTGGAGGGTAATGTTGACCCCGGATTAATAAACCCCTGTTTATTGATATGGGGGTGTCCCTGGTTTTAGTGGGGATTTACCCCTGTTGGAGGGGCCTCCACCCCTATACTAATAAACAGGGGTTTATTAGAGTAATCCGGGGTCACATTGTCCACCAGTATGGCTTCAAAGGGAAACCAAAAGAAGCCACCCATCTTGGAGCTCTCATCCCAATAGCAAGAAGGCACTGGCTTGGGTTCCTGGGGCCCCCGGCGGGGGAGGGGGGGAGGAGAGGGGATCTGGAGAAAATTTCTACCACCCGGAGTGGGGCGGGCGGGCGGGTGGTGATAGAAGCGGCTGAGCTAAGGAGGAAAGACAAAGACAGCTCCCCCTCTTCTTTAAGCGTCTTGCCACCCAATTAGAGCTTCTGAAAGCCAACTAGCAAGACCTTTCAACATTCTATAGACATCTACTCTATATTGGATATCATGTTAGACATCATGATGGAAGATATGTAGATTGCTAACTTATTATTAATCCTAATTATTTGTGGCGTTCCTCATCTTTCTATCATCATTTGGAGAGGATTTGGGGTAAGAAGAGGAAGTACATGTCCATCATGTGGATTATTAATGGGAATTACCTACCTTTCAACCAGGCTCTTTGGATTTATTCCTCTTTTGGTACCCTTGGCATGCTGAGCGAGACAGAGGATTCAGGGCCCCTTTGGACACCTGCATCGTTGATGTCCACCAGCCATGTTTGAGGGGGGAACCCCACGGCGGAGACTTTGCCAACGGCCGAAAGCCCCTTGCACCGAGAGCATGAGAAAAAACCCTTTCAAAGGGGACCTTTCGAGCGCACCTTTGGGGAAGACTAACATAGACCAGCAATTCGAGTTTGGGGTGTGGTTGGGCAAAACCCTGCTAATTTGCTCAGCACCTTTCCTTTTGGTGGGGTCAAAAAAAAAGAGGAGATGCTGGGCTGCCAAGAACATTGGCAGGAAGCAAATGTGTGTGGCGTGGGAAGGGTGGTGCGTACGCGCGTGTGACTCAGGATGTTCCAATGTTCGGCCTGTGTAAGGGCCCATGACCATTTTTGTGTTTTTACATAATAATTAGTTCTGTTTCAAGCTATTTGGGTGCGTGTCAACATGGGAGGACCTCGAAGCGGGCGGTTTCCGTGTAAACCATTACAGCGCATCCAAGGGAATCCTCTGTGCGCCCCGCGTCCCATATCTCGCGCGCGAACTGCGTACGCTTGAGGGTTGATGCTTTTTTCTCCGGGCCCTGAGCCCAGGTTCCATCATTCGGAACCGGGCGGAGGTGCTGGCTCCAAGGCTTCAATGTTTCGTACACTGCAACCCTAAGCAAAAGGTTGTCTAGTGAGCACAACGCCAACAAATCCTCCGCTTTTGGCAGGTTTCCAAGAGGCTGTCCAATACACCCTAACTGTAACATAGGTGTCCTTTTAGGGGAAATAGATGACCCTGGTGGATGATTAAACCACAAGGCAAACCAGGAATCGCCATCTATGTTTCTAGCAAAACAACCAAAAAGGACACCTATGTCCCCAAACCGCTACGGGTCCCCGCAGGGAAGCTGGAAAAACAAGGTGCTACACTGGGTTGCTTTCTGCTCCCCTGCTAAAAGTTTAACTCTTAGCGGTTTAATGGAAAACTCATTAGTTGGCAAACAAGTTAAAGTCCTAACATCCAAGCAAAATGCACCAAAGTACACATCCCCCAAAAAAACACAGCTGCCGAGCGGCTGCTCCTTGAGCTTGTGCAGCTGCTGTGCGGCCACGTCGCGCTTTACAGGGCTTCGCGACATCACCTGGCATGTCCCAAACGTTCAAACCCATGAGAGGGGACCCCTTTCTGATTTGGCTGTGGCTCAAAAACCCGGTGCCAAAATAGAACCCTGGTAAGTGGAAACTAAGGCCAAAACCTGCGGAACCCCTCCTGTTTAATTTTGAGCCACACCCATTTGTTGAAAATGGTGGGGGGTCACTTGCAAATGTCTGACTGTATGCCCATTAGTTGGTGGCTTCATGTTTGGTTTCCACGTCGGACATGTTCAGCGGCTCATTGTCATTTCCGCTGCGCATCCGCGGCAATCTCACCATTTGGCCGGAAGCTGGGGTTGCTTCGATTCCGGCAAAGTGGCATGCCAGAAAAGCCGCCATCCATGTTCGCCGTTAATCAGAACACACAAGGATAGGTGTGTTGCTGCGAGTAGTCATGGCGCGGTAACTGAATGAGGTTTGGCTTCAAGCTTCCATCTTACATTGCCAGTTCCATGTAGTCATCGTGGGAGCTGAATTCCAGAACACGTGGTGTCCAGGACAGAAAAGTGGGGCGGCGTGACGTTTGTTTGGTAAGGGTGCCGGTGGATGTTTCGGTGTGGCACACAGATTCGGTGAGGGGAACCCATATGACCAATATGCGACAGCTGATGTCATGAGGGCCTCCTTGCAAAACCAATCCTTTCGGAATTGCTCCAAAGGACAAACCAATAAAAGGAGCCTGAAACCATTGGACCTGAGGGTTGGCTGCACTTAACCCTCAGCGGCCATGCGCTTTGATCTTACGTCTCGGTCTTGCCCCAAAGGCCTCCTGAAATCCTGAACGCCCATAAACCAACGATCGACACAGACCCAAATTTTCCCCAGTTTGGGGCAGGGTTTTGTAAAAATTCTGGCAGGCTCCAGAAAACCAAATTGTTTCCACAAGTTCCAAGAGTAGCTTCCCGGTTCTGCCAAATAATCCAGGAATGAAATATATTAGGCAGGTGAATTACCTACCACCCTTGCTCGCTAGAAGCCTTCGCTGGGCTTCCTTTTTGACGGCCTGTCAAGCTCCTAGAGCGAATTTGCAACTTGAGGGAAACACCCCCCACAAAGTTTATCAATCCGGGGTCAACAAACTTTGTATCTAGAGTCCCTATAACCCTTCAAGCCTGGGGCAATTTTTCAGGGTCATGGAAACCCCGGTGGGGAGCGGGTTTTTGGAGTGTCGCCCTATCAAGATGGTTCAAATGGAACCAAAGAGCTGGCCATTTTTGGGATCCGTGGCCGGTCCATGGGCCCGACCTGACTCTCTCAATCAAAAGTTGATCAACTTTGAAACGATCCCCCTCTGAGCTGCCCTTCCAATTTCAAAATGCCTCGGAATTTTCCGTGACTTCCCCTCAGCCCTACCCAGAAAGGCTGACTGTCGGAGGTCCCCTGAAGCAGGACATTTCGCACCGAGATCAAGTGACGCGTTCCGCTTTCCCCCCCCAACTCCCCCAACTCCCCCAACTCCAACTCCCTGGTGGCGAGCGCCGATTCCGGGCACGGCTGGTGGACAAAAAAAACCAACCATACCAACCGTACGAACAGAACAAACCATCATCCCCAACCATCCAAGCTTGTTTTCTTTGTTGGTTTACAAACCATCCAAACAAGCAAAACCACCCCCAAAACATCACCCGCAAAAAGAAAAATCCGAATTCATGCTCCGAGGCCTGCAGCTTCTGCTCCACGTCCTTCAGCGACGCCTGGGACTTGGCGCGGCTCGCCTCAAGGCGGCGGAACGAGCGCGGTGGCGGAACGAGCGCGAGGGGTTTGGTTGGAGGTGGCGTTGAGTCCAGGCTGAGACAAAACGGAACCGTGGGTGGGTTCGAAATCCACTTCGCACATTCAGTCACCCTGAAATGACTTAATTCCACCTGTAAATACCATCAAACGCTATGTTTTCGAACATATATATTTTGGAATATCAAGTCGGAGTATTGCACCGCAAATTTAGAGAAACTAATTATGTGGCACCACATGTGAAATGGGATTATTGCATCTACGTGCCGTATTCGACCACCGTCTACGCTGAATTTGTGAGCAATTACTCTCTCTCTACTCTTTTGAGCCTCCAGACTCCACTGTAGTGCATGGTTGCGGTTGTAATGACTTGGCCGCTTGGTACAGTGGGAAAAGGCAGCAAGCCAGGGATATGCACAAGTGCGCGACTCACCTGACGCAACCCGCAATCCCAGTATTTTGGTACTGCCCCATGTCCTCACCTGCACCATGGCTTGCAGAAAAATCATCCGTTGCGATCCGTGTTCAAACAGCGATCGCTCGTGTTATCATTCAGCGATCGGTATATTTTTTGTTTGGGGGGAAACGGACATGAACAAGCCCGGGAAATCGGCGTGCCGATTTTCTTTTTGGGGGGGAACCCTTTCTTTGTGGAACCCAAGATGAAAACCACCATTTTGGGTTGATCCCCATAGGTGTCCCTTGGGTAAAATAGATGGCCCTGGTAAATCCAATCTAAATCAGTGCCATCTGTTTCTAACCAACTAACCTAAAAAAGGCACCTATGCTGGTGCCCCTGGCACAAGACACGTTCAGCATGTAGAACGGGGTATGCGCAATGGCCCAGATCTCGCCTGCGCTTCCTCGGCAGCCTCGGGCCGCCCCGGCGCCCGGATCTGGCAATCGCTGCACACATTGCAGCAAATGGCGCCACCCGCAAACCCAACACACAAACCAAGTGCTGCGTTGAGTTGTTTGTTTGATTGCTTGCTCTGTGGCTTGCTCTGTGGATGTGTTTTCTTGCTCGTGTTTGTTTGTTTGCTTGTTTGCTTTTTGCACGATGTGATGGCTTGCTTGTGTGTTTGTTTTCTTGCGTGTTTGCTTTGTGCTGGATGTGAGTGTTTGCTTCCTTTTTGTTTGTTTGCTTGTTCGCCTTGCAAATACTGTGATTGTTTGCTTGTTTGTTTGCTTGCTTGTCTCCATCGCTGGCTTTGTTTTTTGCTTAACTGTTTGTTTGTTTGTTTGTTTGCTTGGTTGTTTTCTGGTCTGTTTGTTTGTGTGCTCGTTTGTTTGCTTGTTTGTTTGCGTTCTTGCTTGATTGTTTGCTTGCTTGCTTGTTGCTTGCTTGGCAGTTTGGTTGATGGTTTGCTTGCTTGGCTGGTTGATTGCATGACGTGCTTGCTTCTTTGTTTTTGCTTGCTTGGTTGCTTGCTCGTTTGTTAGCTTGCTGCGTGTGTGTGTTTTTCCCTTGTTTGCGGGCTTGCTTGCTTTCTTGGACGCTTGCTTTTTCGGTCTGCTTGGTCGCTTGCTTGGTGCGCTTCCTTGCTTCCTTGCTTACTTGCCGGCATGCGTGCTTTCACGCTTGTTTGCTTGCTTGTTTGTTCGCTTGATTGGTTGTTTGGGTGTTTCGTTGTCTGTGTGCTTGATTGGTTGGTTGCTAAGTGGGTGGGTGAGTGGGTGGGTCGGTTGGCTGGCTGGCTGGCCGATTGGTTGGCTGGCAAGCCAGCTAGCGAGTCAGCCAGCGCGTCAAATTATTTATTGTGGTTGGTTGCTTAGTTGGTTGGTTAGTTGGCTGGTTAGGTACTTAGCTCCGTTGCTTCATGTATTCGCTTGTTGCGGGGCTTGTTCAGCCAATCCCACCCCTCCTCCGTTGCGCCAGCTGCCGTCAAAGAATATGTAAGGCCCACTCGACCCTCCTAGAAAAAGTTCCCTTTGTGACACTTGACATTTTTCGGGAACTTACCAGGAAAAAGAGGAAGAAGGGTGCCACTGACCATCCAGCTTTAAACAGTTAAACAGTTCAAACCAATTTGGGGAATTATATAAACAATATACACATATAATAATACACACATATATAAATATATATATATATATGTATATTATGTGTTTTCCCGAAAGCATCGCGAAGGGTTCTTCCGTGCGGAGCCCTTGGACAAGTTACACAGAGCCAAGTTGCACAGAGCCAAGTTACACAGAGCCAAGTTACATAGAGCCAAGTTACATAGAGCCAAGTTACATAGAGCCAAGTTACATAGAGCCAAGTTACATAGAGCCAAGTAACAAAGAGCCAAGTTACATAGAGCCAAGTTACATAGAGCCAAGTTACATAGAGCCAAGTTACATAGAGCCAAGTTACATAGAGCCAAGTTACATAGAGCCAAGTTACATAGAGCCAAGTTACATAGAGCCAAGTTACATAGAGCCAAGTTACATAGAGCCAAGTTACATAGAGCCAAGGTTAGAGCCAAGGTTAGTAGAGCTTAGTGAGCGGTGTTAGTTTAGTTAGTTAGTTTATCTAAGGCGCCGGGGCGGGAGTTTGATCGTCGCTCGGGATTGCGACCCTCTGCGGAGATTCGCGCGGTCGAGGTAAAAAAAAGCTGAGGACTTTTTACGATTTCTGCGGTGCGCGCGCGACCCCCTGCGGAGATTCGCGTGGTCGAGGTTCAAAAACTGTAGACTTTTTACGATTTCTGCGGTCCGCGCGCGACCCTCTGCGGAGATTCGCGTGGTCGAGGTTCAAACACTGGGGACTTTTTACGATTTCTGCGGTCCGCGCGCGACCCTCTGCGGAGATTCGCGTGGTCGAGGTTCAAAAACTGAAGACTTTTTACGATTTCTGCGGTCCGCGCGCGACCCTCTGCGGAGATTCGCGTGGTCGAGGTTCAAAAACTGGGGACTTTTTACGATTTCTGCGGTACCCTCTGCAGAGATCGTGCGCGTCGAAGCGCTCTCGCTGTGCGAATTTGTCTTAGTCTCGGCGAACCCTCTGCGGAGATTGTGCGTGTCGGAGCGCTCTCGCTGTGGCGCCGTGCAATATTCTTGCTCGCGAAACGGCCTTTGGAAGTTGTTTCGTGGTTTGCGCGCCTGCTTTCGCAATCCCGCGGTCGCGTGTTCGATTCCCCCCTGTTCCGCGGCAGCTCCGGCTTGAAAATCGCAATTTTAAGTACAAACGTAGTACGCGGAGCGTGCTCCTGCAGCTCCGGCTGGAAAATCGCAACTTTTAAGTACAGACGTAGTATGCGGAGCGTGCTCCCGCAGCTCAGGCTTGAAAATCGCAACTTTTAAGTACAAGCGTAGTACACGGAGCACACCCCCGCAGCTCCGGCTGGAAAATCACAACTTTTAAGTACAAAAATAGTATGCGAAGTACATTCCCACAGCTCCGGCAGCACTTGCGCAGAGCAACTTGCGCAGAGTGACTTGCGCAGAGCAACTTGCGCAAAGCAACTTGCACAGAGCAATTGCACAAAGCACTTGCGCAGAGCAACTTGCACAGACCAACTTGCACAGAGCACATGCGCAAAGCGCTTGCACGGAGAAACTGGCGCAGAGCACTTGCGCAGAGCAACTTGCTCAGAGCACTTGCGCAGAGCAACTTGCACAGAGCACATGCGCAAAGCGCTTGCACGGAGCAACTGGCGCAGAGCAACTTGCGCAGAGCAACTTGCACAGAGCACTTGCGTGCAGCAGCGTGCAGCAGCTTGCAGAGAGCAACTTGCGCGCAACAGCCTGGAACAATGCAGCTTGCGCAGACCACTTTCGTGAGAAATCGCGCGGCGCAGTTCGAGAGGAAAGTAGGATGATGAGATGGAGCTCTCATGTGACCATACACACTGAGCATCACCGCGCGCAGACACGCTCGCCGCAGCGATGTAAAAAGGTGTCTCCGCGGCTGGATGAGCGCCTGTGGAAAAATGCTAGAGGACGATTGGCCCGAACAGGAGCCCTCTGCGGAGATTCGCGTGGTCGAGGCTAAAAAACTGCGGACTTTTTACGATTTCTGCGGTCCGCATCATTTGTTTGGGAGCCCGCCCCAAAACTTCTGGGAGGGGGCGGTTAACGGTCAGCCGCCGCGTTTCCCTCCGCGCCAGGCGCTTCAGCGCGGCGCCCTGCTCCAGCGCCGCGCGCAGCGACGCCTCCACCGCCTGCCGAAGCCGCCGGGTGCCCGGCGGCGGACGAGCCATGGGCCCACCCCACCCACCCCCCCACCCCACTACCCGGCTATGAGTCAAAAATGCGTACCCAAAATGGAACCCTGGTAAATGGAACCAAAGACTAAAACTTGCGGTCCCCTGGTGGTTTTATTTTGACCCATACCCACCCCACCCCAACACACAACCACACACAGAAAACTAACTAGCACATCATAGGTGTCTATTTGTGGTTTGGCAAGCTATCCCCACCCCACCCCACCCTGTGATAAACCAGCCGTGGGTTAGGAGCCTCAGGATTTCCCATGGGCTCCGGAAATGAGGGAATGAGGGAATTCTACCATGGCCAGGTGAACTACCAAGGGACATTTGGACGCAAACCCAATTTCCTTGCGATCGGTGCGATAGGTAGGGAATGGCTGAATGAACCTGAGGGGATTCCCGAATAAAGGACCAGTTGCATGGTTGATATGGGTCAGTAAACCTCCGTTTACTTAAGCACCCGTGGTTTCTTTTTGGGAGAGACCACCTGTCGGCTTCCCTCTAATTGGTGTTTCTGTGCTAAGCCTCATAACACCCCGCGAAAAGAAAATCCTCGCCTTCTCACTATGCCCGGAATCAATTTTTCGTTTTGGAACCCCAGATGGTCAAAGCTCACGATAAGTCTAGTTCTCTTCAACCATGAACATTCAGACGCGTCAGGCCATCCCCCAGGAGGCCCCACATTTTTTGGTGTGGATTCCCAATCACCCCTCCACAAGAACCAGGCGTTCTTCATTTGCGTTTTCATCCGTGGTTGTGGTCTGTGTTTGGGAGAGTAGACCAGCTGTCGGCTTGCCTCCAATTTGTGGCTTGGGTTGGTGTTTGTGGGTAAGACAAACCAATCCAAACCACTTAAGCCTCCATTTGCGTGTTCGCCCCCCACGAAAACGTGAGACAACATTCCAGTAGTGATAGATTCCCCTTCAAACCAACAGAAGAACATAAGCACATACTAATTTCGGCAATTGGAAGTAAGTGGACGGCAGAAAAGCCCAATTAAGAAAGAGGTGGAACTCATTTGTTCTTACCCAAGACCGGCGGAACCCATTGGTGCTTGCCAAACCACAAATAGACACCTGTGCTAGCTAGTTTTCTGTGTGTGTGTGTGTGGTTGTGTGTGTGTGTGCTTGATAGTGTTTGTGTTGGTGTTTGTGCTTTGTGAGGGTACTCTTTTGGGTTGGTTGTGAGGGTCGCCCTATTTTGACACATACCCAGATTCCGGTTTTTGCATTAGGGAGGGGGCGCTCATCCTCAAATTCCCCGAGCGAAATGGTGGCTGAAAGGACCCACTGGGTCCGACAACCACTTAAGGCGACTTGAAGGGAAACCAGTTCTGGAAGGAGTGAGCTTGTGGCGTTTGGGGCGTGTCTCCAAAAGCTTAGACAAAGCGCTTTGGCCTGCCCCTTCAATTATAAGAATGTTCCTCGCAGAAGCATACGGCATAACAAACTCCCTGAATTCCAGAAACCACTTGGTCCAAACCTTCCCGTTCTAACCAGGGGTTCACCCCCGCCCGGCGGGCTTCCATGGCTTCCAGCCATCGGGAAGCTCCCCGGAAAGTCCCCCAGGCTGCGGGTCTTCCTTTTGGGGCTTGGGCTTTTTCTTTTCGCGGGAAAGGCTTGGGCTTTTTTGGGGGTTTAGGCTTTTTTTCGAATACTAGGCTCTTTTTTTTTCGGGGAAGGCGATGCTCGATGGAACCCATCCAAAGCCCGTCCTTTTGAAAGTGGCAAGGATGAAGGGGCCACCTTGGAAAAGAAAGTTGTTTTATACGCATCTGGGAGCACAAAGAATGGGGCAGGTTCCGGCTCAGTGTCTTTTAGGTCTGCACCTATATGCCATCTCCAGTGCTACACCCCCTGCCTGCTCTGGGCTGGACATTGGCACTGGGGTGAGACAATTCGACTGATGGGACCCTCGTCCCAGGGCCTTTGAGGAAAGAGAACAAATGCCTGGCACTGCACAAAGCGTGTTTGGTTCTTGTAGCTGGCGCTGCCGGGGGTAAATTGCTTGGTTTGGCTCGAGCAAGCCTGAGGCGGAAACACGAGCGCGCAGAACATCAAGCCTGTGCCAAGTATTCAGAAGCCATTGCAAAATCACCACACTGCCTAACCGCAACCTCTTCATTTCTGCGAAATACCGCTGGTTGAAACGGCCATATTGACGAAGCCAAGAATCGTGGAAGCTGACAGGGTTTAAGACAGGCCACTTTCATGATTGTTACTCGGTTGCTTTCTGCTCCCCTGCTAAAAGTTTAACTTTTAGTGGTTTAGTGGAAAACCCATTAGTTGGCAAACAAGTTAAAGTCCAAACATCCCTTGGCAAAATGCACCAGTAGAAAAACGTGTTCTTCTCTCGATCACAGATATTTTGTTCCTTGCAAATATCCTCCATCCTTTGGAGCCCATGCGCGAAGAGAAAGCATTGACTGGGTGACCCACAACAAACTCGAACAAATAGGCATCAGTTTATCTCAACATTGAGAACACACACACACATTTTAACAAACATGGGCGGTGTCCTTCTAGACCAGCAAAGAACATGAGTACCCTCAACAAAGACACTGCTACATAAGTTTCCAGGATGTCAGTAACCCATTCAAAGCGCCCGGCCAAATCTTCCCACCCTGATATATCAGTAAATCCCTTTATGCGCAGAAAAAGGTGAGCCGGACCAAAAGGTCGAAGCAAAACAACCTGATCCACGAAACAATGCAAGTAGGTAAGGACAACCCCCCGTTACTGCAATGTGTCTGGGTTTGTGGTTGGACGGATGGTCCACTTGGATGGTCCACATACTCCATCGAGAACAAATACATGATCAGAACAACACACAATCAACCAAAACTAACACACCACCGAGAACCTGGAATGAAACAGCAATAAAACAAAACAGCTCCAAACAGTTCCTAACAAAACAGAACCCTCAAATGCGGGCAGCAGCACAGAACCGAAAGATCAAAAAAAGCAACCTGCATTCCAACAATCATGGGGGTGGACGAAAGTTCCAAAACCATGACTGTTATAGAGGAAAACACCTTGGAAAGGGGTCTTTCTTGAGGGAACCGCCTCCCCCCCTCTTTTTCCGTGGCATCAAAGTTGAGAACCACCCGGAAAACCAACTTGCGCCATGTTGAACGGTCCGATTCCCAAACCCAAAAAAAGGACGACAAGAGCAAGCCACCGAAGAGGCACTCACTCCTCGGTGCCCCCACAGTGGTGGCCGCAGGGTCGAAGGCCAACTGTCGGTCACACACCGAACCACCTAACCCCCCCAACCCCCCCCCCCTCCCCCCGCCGGTACAGGAGTCCAGGAGTCAGAATCCAAACCGGACGGTACAACAAAAACGAACAACAGAACAGGAGTCAAAACAAAAGCCTGGCAATTACTAGATGCTTTTTTCTACCCAGAACTATTGTGCAGAATGAAGAAACCATGGCGGCACCCATTTATTTTTGCAGTTGGGATTGTCCCTTGCTAGCCTTCATCTACCCGGGTTTTGATTGTGGCTCAACGTGGAATCCGAAAACAGGGTCAAGTACATAGAGCAAAGGGGTCAAGTCCCTGAAGCCAACTGGTCTCAAGGAGATTCCTAAAATGACTGCTGTTGGGCCCGTCGTGGTTGACTAGCTGGGTTCATAACTCTTAAAAGGAACTTCACAACCCCATTGGTTTGCGGTAGCAAACAACTTTGTTTTTTGCAGCCCGGCTACTAAAACTTAACACAACCAAACATCGCATGCCAAGAACAGCGAAATAAAATTCACGACTTCTAAGGGGGCAACCAGCTCTGGAAGTCAAAGAGTGATCTAAGGAATTTTGAAATTTAGAGAAGTTTGGGGATTTTGAGTGGAGCAAAACTGCGGGTGGTCCTTTCAAGACGGCAATTGAAACAACATGAATGGCAACGCCCCCCCGAAACGTGTCTCCATTTGCCTCTCTCAGATCTGAAACAAGTTACTGCCAGCGAGAGGGTTTTTGGGCAAAAGGACCACAAAACATGGAAAAGAAACCACATCAACCCATGAATTCTGCGTCACGAACTTGCCACAACGTCGCCTCTGAATGCCCGCCCCTGCTCCCCTCCCCCAAGTGCCATGGATACGCAGAGAATAATTTGTTTAAAACTACAAGTGCTAAACCGCACGGTTCCTTTTTCTTGAGCCATGAAAGTCGGGGATTCACACTCCCCCTGGGTGTCTATTGCACCCACAACGGCCTACCGGCCCCCAGACCGTGCGGTCCTCACTCCTTGTCTTCGCCAAGCACCACCTTCCCAGCCGCCGCTGCTCTTGCTGTGCATGAGCTCCCCCGCGGCTGAGTCTCCTCCTCCCTGACGTCCCTGCTTGGCTCTGCAGACCCTCCTTCACCCGAACTCTGCTCAGGCGGTTGGCTCTCCGTCCCCACCACCTCGATGGGACCTCCTCGCAGATGCTCATCGGCCCTCCACAGGCTCCCTTGAAGACCCCCAAGAGGTTCACCTCGAGCACGAGCTTGAAGGAACTCCCACCGCTCTTCTGACTTTCTTTCCATCTCGCGGTAGTACTCCATCCTCTCCATCCCCAGCACCGCTCTTGTTGCCCGCACCGGAACTCGACCTCCAGTCCCATCTCGCACATGGCATACTACTACCAGATCGTCCCTCGAGGCCTTTGCCTGAGGTCGGATCGCCTTCAAGGATTTGGGTGCCTGCTTAGGCAAAGGTACACCCGTCCAGGGCCTAGTCCCCGTCCCTGTCCTATCCGTCCCCAAGTCCTTGTCTCTTGAGCTGCCGGTAGCTCTGTCAACACCAACAACTTGCCCCTTCTTTCTATTAGCAATATTGATGTTCACGGAGCCGCCTTCCGCCGTCTCTTTCGGTGGGCTCTTGGCCTCTTCATGCGGTCTTGCCAGTTCTTTATCGGGGTCTTCAACCGGTCTTTTCAATTTCTTCATTCCCAAACCACACGCCTTCTTGGTGAGTTCCCAGATCACTACCACCAGAATGGCGATCACCGTCAGGATAACTTCCAGCGACACCCCCTCCAGTTCCGGCTCCTCCCCATCTTCAGCCTTTGCCACCGCCACCAGACTCAGCATGCCCACGACAGCCTTCAACTTATCCACCGCGAGCCACCCTGCTGCTCCAACCTTCTCGATGACCTTCTCCCCGACGCCTTCTTGACCTTCTTCCTCTCTATCACCTCCAAGCCCATTCCTCCTCTGCACTTCTCAAACTGGATCTTCGCCAACGGTTTGGTCAATCCATCCGCCGCCAACAAAGTCGCCGGCAGATGCCTCAACCTCCACTCCTCCTCCTCTATCAGCTCTGCCAACCTTCCAGCTCGACATCTCAAGTGCCTTGACCGCCATGCGCACGCCGGCGTTGTGATACTGCTGATTGCTGCCGCGTTGTCACCCAGGATCATCTTTTTGACCTTTGACCCTTCCAGCAGCTCCACCAGCGTTGCCACCGCCTCTCCAATTGCCGTCGCCTGCACGTAGCCCGTCAATTCCGCCTCTGCTGTTGACAACGTTGTAAAGGCTTGCCTTGTTGGTTCCCAAGCAATGATTCCGCCTCCATACAGAACCATCACCCCCTGGATTGATCTTCCACCTCCTGGCGCGAAGCTCACATCCGCCTGTATCTCCAACGTTCCCATACTCCGAGGACCTGGAAACTCTGCCTCTTCCTCCCGTGGCTCCATCCTCTTCTGGTAGATGATGCCCACGCCGTCCGTGTTCTTCAAGTAGCCCAGGATCTGCTTCGCCACGTTGAGTGCCTTCTTCGGGTACTTCGCCACCATTCTTGATGCCTGGCCAACCGCGAACGCTACATCCGGTCGCGTCCTCGTCGACACCCACAGAAGTTCCCCTAGCGCCACTTGTGCTTCCTTCACCTCCTCCGGAGTTCTATCCTCTTCTGGCTCCTCCGACAGCTCCATCTTCCCCGCCGGGACGTCCACATTCTTCACATCTGGATGTCTCTCCACCAAGTCCCGAATGTACGCCGATTGGCCCAACCAGAAACCACCTTCTCTTTCACAGATCTCCACTCCGCAGAAGACGACCGGCTCCTTTCCACTGACCATTTCCGGAGGCGACGTTTTCCATTCCTGCTGAAGCCGATCCATGAAGCCCTTCATGACCGTGTCCTCCGCTGCGACCAGCATGTCGTCAACATACACCACGATGTTTCCCACGATCTTTCTCCCTTCTACCTCCTTGATGGCCCACAGGTTCCCCTCCAGCAAGTCCATCTTGTACTCCTTCCCGCTCACCCACCATCTGAACTTCTTCATTGTCTTGTCACGATGGCATCCCCAGTCCTTTGGACTAGTGTTCAAGCCGTAGAGCGCTTTGAGGACCAACCGCCGCTCATCTGGCTTGGTAATACCAGCCTGTCCAAACACCTTCGGCGGAGTTACTACCAACAGTCTTCCCCTCCGATTCGGTGCTTGGAGGAACGCGGTTTTCACATCCACGGTCCCCACCTTCCACTCTTCATAGGCTGCTTTGCGGAGGGTCGCTCTCAAGGCTATACTATCCACGCCCCCCGCAAACACCTCCTCTTTGGTCTCCTTTGCAATCAGCTGGTTCCTGCACACCACTGCTCGAACCTTCCTCCTCCCCGACCCAGCCTTGCGGGTGAACACTCCCTTCCCCGTCGCTATCTCCACCTCCGCGTGCTTCACAAGCTCCCCCGCTTCGGCTGATGACAACGGCTTGATTGCCTGGGTCTCTACCGTTAGCGATGCATACTCTTCTGCCATCGCTTCTTTCCAGAGCTCAAGCTCCTCCTTGACCACCTCCAACGGGATTGTCTTTGTCTGCAGGAACTCCTCTTCTTCTAGCTTCTGCACCGCCTTCAGCTGCCTTCTTTCTTCCCCATCCTTTGCGATGTTCTGGGTGTAGCCGTCCACGCTCACTCCCGCGGTGTGCGTGGCCAGGACCACGCTGCAGCC